GATGAAGAAATTATTTTCTCTCCCTTAAAATTCCAGTTTTCACCTGGAATTCTCAGGTTTTAAATAAGTCTAAAACTAATTAAACTGAAGCAGTTTAGCACCAACACTCAGCCAGACCAAATAATCCCCAAAATTCCAAATAATACCCCAAATTCCAAATAATTCCAGCACTCAAACCGAACCAACAGCAGGAAAATTCCAATCATAACTATATTTATCCTTGCCCAGAGATATTTAGGGAACAATATCCAGTCAAATCCACACCAGCAATCCCTGGGATTGCTAAACCAGGAAGTAGATCCAGGATCAGGAAGTGGATTATCAGGATCAAGAAGCAGATTATCAGGATCAGGAAGCAGATTACCAGGATCAGGAAGCAGATCCAGGATCAGGAAGCAGATTCCCAGGATCAGGAAGCAGATTCCCAGGATCAGGAAGCAGATTACCAGGATCAAGAAGCACATTATCAGGATCAAGAAGCAGATTATCAGATCAAAAAGCAGATTCCCAGGATCAGGAAGCAGATTCCCAGGATCAGGAAGCAGATTCCCAGGATCAGGAAGCAGATTATTACCAGGATCTTGCTTCCCATGGGAAATAAAGGAAGAGAGGAAAAAGCCAAGAAAAACCAAGGGAAAACCCCCACGATTGGTGTTTGAAGATATTTTGCTTTTCCTGATTCCTGGAAAAGCGAAGACATTCGCTGGAGCTCCTCGGATGAGAAGCAGCTTTCCACATAAACATCATCCTCTGGGAATTTTGACACGATTCCCAAACAAACTCAGACCAGGGTTTCAAAGCTCCTGTGAGGACTATTTAGAACCGACTTTCCCCGGGCCCATACCTGGATCTCCCTCCTCTTCCCACTCCTCTCGGCTCCGACCTTCGGATATTCCGCGCCCGCCGCTTCGCCGCTTCCCTCGTCCCACTTTTCCGAGCGCCTCTTCTGGTGGCTGATGGCGGAGTAGAGCCGGGAAAGCCTCGGGGACAGCCGGACCCTGCGGTGGCCGAAGGCCCTGAGCAGCCTGGCGGTGTCGATGGTGGACAGGGAGCTGCTCCTCCCGCTCGTGGTGTCCGGCTCCGTGGCCGTGCCCCACTCTGAGGCGCTGGTGCCGTGCTCTCCGCTCAGCCTCGTCTCCCAGGAGTCGTCGCTGGGAGATTCCAAGGGGTGCTGCTTCCCTGGGATTTCGGTGTTGTGGTGGGTTGTTGTCTCTCCTCCCCGTTTCTCCCTGAGCTCCCCCAGGTTGGGGTTGTCCCACGCTCTTTGCCCCACACGCGTCGCCGTCACCTCCACGCCGCTCCCGGACGTGTCGTTCTCTCCCAATCCTGTTTTTGTCCGCTCCCTTCCCTCGGTTTTCCTTTCAGGAACGTTGCTGCCGGCTTTTGCCGGGATCAGGGTGTGTTGGACGGGGTTCTGCAGGACCCTGGCCAGCCGATCCAGGCGTTCCACCAGCGACAGCTCCCCGGCACTCCTCGAATCGTGGTGCTGGTGCCTCCTCTGCCTCTCCAGGAACTTAACCCAGAGCTCATCCAAGCTCCCACTGGAGTGGGTTCTCTGTCTCGGGGGTTTCTCCACGTTCCCCTCAAGGAGAGTTGTTTGGCTCCGTGGCAGAGGAGGATTCCCAGCTGCTCCTTGTTCTGCTTCCCTCCTGCGCTGACGTCGCTCCATCCCTGACATCTCATTCCCAACGTTCAATTCCTCATTTTTACTCTCATCTGCTTCTGCAGTGAGTGGAAAGAATTCCTTTTTCCCACTTTTTCTCTGATGGGCAGAGAACACCCGCTGGTGCCGGTGTGGTTTTTTCCAGGTGCCGCCGGAGGAAGGCGGAGCAATTCCCGCTCCGGAACTGTCCTCGGAGAACTCGCTGCTGTCACACGTGGGCATGGGGCGGTGGAGGTAGAACCGTGTGGATTTGAAGGTGGAATGAGTGGGTTTTACAGGTTTGGAATGATCTCTGTGGTCTGGAATAAAAAAAAACAAAAGGAATAAAAGAGGAATAAAAAAAAAACCAAAAAAACCCCCACCTGAATTCTTTGTTTCTTTGCAAAGAATCACGTGGAAAACATCAAGTCCTAAACGGGATAATTTTCATCCTAAAACTTTCCAGTGGATTCAAAGGATTAAAAGCAGGATCACTGAATGATTCCTGAAGCGTAACAAACCTGGAAATGAAGTTTCAGCATTATTAAAAGCACATAAATGATATCTTTTTATCGTTTTCAACTAGGGGTAGAATATAAAACAGAATGCAGAATATTCAACAAGAGAGTATTACATCCAAGAGGATCTGAAGGAGGAATCTCATCACACCTCAGGACATTTCCCTGCACAACATTTTAAATGGGTTTATTTAGAATCTACATGGGTTTATGCAGGATCATAGAATGGGTTGGGTTGGAAGGGACATTAAAGACCATCTTAATTCCAACTCCCTGCCACGGGCAGGGACATCTCCCACTAGACCAGGCTGCTCCAACCTGGCCTTGGACACTTCCAGGGATCCAGGGGCAGCCACAGCTTCTCTGGGAATCCATGGAGCACACCCAGTATTATGCTCCAAAATAAAGTCATTTTTAATACGATACAATACAAATATCAAGTTTAAAACTGTGCTTTATGTTCTTTGCATAACGGAGTGAATTATAAAATCCCTTCCCTTCCCGACAAAGATTTGGGTGCAACGTCAAGATCGCGGCCAACGTAACCATTCCCAATCCCCCCCCCAGCTCTGGAATTACTGGGAATTTGTTTTCCCATACAAGGTCAGTGTTTATGTACTTGTGTAAGAGCTTCTTCCCCCACATCCTCCTGACCAATGAGCTCAGGCTTGGGAATGCCAGGCAGAATTCTGCTATTCCTGGACTTCTTCAAAAGTTCCCAACCGAACGGGAGGAATGTAAACAGGCAAAAAATAAAGAGAAGTTTATATAGAGAAACTTTATTTAAAAAAAAAAAATAACCAAAAAACAACACATAACTTGCATCTTTTTAAGCTCTAGACAAGCTCTGTGGGTAGAGGTAATCTTTTATTAGACCACCTAAAAATATAGTTGAAGAAGTCAGGGATGATTTAAGACATTCAAAGTCTTTTGAGGATCTGTTTTAAGTTCCAACTGCACTGGTTGGTTTAATTAAATATTATTTCTCCTTACAGTTCTTTTCCTACCTGGGCTTTTAGACCATCAAATAACAAAGGATATACATATTTTTTTTTAATAATTAAAATGTAGAAAATAATATTATTTCATTTTATAGGAGCACTTTTGTCCCCCTTTCGTTTTTCTCCAGCTTATTGGTGTTGCAGCCTTATTGGAAGTTTTCTGCTGCAAATAAAAATTATCTTTGGAAATACCAAAATCTCTCCCATCCCGAAAAGGAAAAGAACTAAAAACTCCTCCTTGAAGAGGAGAATTAAAATGATCAAAGTCATCAAAGAATTAAAATCAAAATACCGTGCCAGGCAATCAACAGCTTCCCTGAGGAATTAAAGAGCTGCTTCAAGGAATCACTCAGCAATTCTCTGCCCAGGAATAAAAATCCTCATCCCTGCTCAGATTCCAGGAATTTTATCAGCCACTCAAAAACGAGGTTTAGGACAAAAAGACTGTCCAGGAGGACTAATTTTAGCTGCTGTCACGAGATAAATGTGCCAAACCCACCAGTCAGCTCAGCCTGATTTCATTTTGCCAGCATTCCCAACAAATGAAGTGGCCACTAGAGAGGAAAATCCTGACCTTCACCCCTGGGGAATATCATCCAAAAATGAAGGATGGAAGGATGGAAGAGAGAGCAGCCAACCCAGTTAAAATTCAGGCAAACACCAACGTGACAGAGATTGTTGACGTGACATCACAAGGCATCAGATGTTTGTGGGCAGGAGCACAACCCCCATGCCAACACCCAGTCATCATCCCTCCCTTTGTTTACCAGGGAATTCCTGGCATTTTCTACACCGGCTCCAATAAGTCCTGGAGACGCTGGAATGCTGACAAATACTGATGGCCCAAGTATTTCATGGAATCAGGGGATGGTTTGGGTTGGAAGGGATCTTAAGGATTATCCAGTCCCACCCCCTGCCATGGGCAGGGACACCTTCCACCAGCCCAGGTTACTCCAGCCTGGCCTTGGACACTTCCGGGGGTGGAAAGTCCACAATCCCTCTGAGCAACCTGTATTTTGGGAATCAGGGAGAAGCAGAAAAACGAGGAAGAGAAACCAAATTTCTTTCTTATGCATGAAAAGCAGATGTGAAATTCAACCCACACTTCATAAAGTACCTGCAGAATCTTCCAGGGGTGTCCTTTGCTCCTCAGCCCAGGCCAGCTTAGGCTTGGCCCTCTTGCTGTGGCATCCTTCTTTTTGCTGGAGAGCTGCAATTCCTGGAGGATTCTCATCCCTCAGACCAGGCAAGTGGGGCACAAACCTTGGAGGAGGAGGAGCATCATTTGACCCTGCAGAGAAAGAATTAAAAATGATGAGGGAAAACCAGGAAGCTGGAAAAGCAGAGACAGAAACTCCACAAGTAACCAACAGTCCTGACCACTGGAAGTGTCCAAGTGAACTAGGTGATTTTAAGGTCCCTTCCAACCCAAACCATTCCATGATTTTATCACTGTCTCATGTTAGAACCCTCAAACTGCCCTCCCCTGACTCCTCATCCTTGTCAATGCCAGCAGGTGGGATTTACTCCCCTCCATTCCTCCAGCTCCCAAGCTGAGAGCCCTGAGTGCAGCAGGGAGGTGGTAAAAACAAGCTTTAGTTTTTCAATCCTGCCCTTCACTTCCCCAGAACCTTCCACTGCTTCATTTGCATGTGGCATTTTTATGTCTGGCATCGTCATTTGTGCAAAACAACAGATTTGCATCACATTTGTTTCTCTCCTTTTGGACGTATTTCACCAGATAAACTTGGAAAAAGACGAAGAGCAGAGACACCTTTAACCATCCCAATCCCAATTTGAGGCTGGAATGTTGGCTCAACCTACTCCCTTGGGGTCCATCTGTCAGGAATTCAGGAACTGGACATCTCTGAGATTAACTCTGAATATTATTTGGATCGAGTAACTTCGGATATTTAAAAACCTCTGAGTTTTTAAAACCTGCAAATAAAAGCTGTAATGCCCAATATTTAAAAACCTGCAAATAAAAGCTGTAATGCCCAAGTGATCTGTCCTTTATGGAAGAACTGGCAGGGATAGAGAGGAATCCAAACTGAGCAGGAATTCCCAGAGGAAAATAAAGGATTATCAAGCTAAAATATTAAGCTTTGTGTTTTGTTTTTTTTTTTTACACTGCCAGGATGGAGCAACAACATCCCTTTCATCCAAGGGATGGGAATCAAAGCAGTCAGGAATTGTGCCCTTTGGGGTTATATCCATGGATTACAGACACATTTTGCACCTGGAAAATCCAAGAGAAATAAGTACCTGAGTGAGAGCTCCCACCATTGGTTTCTGACTCAACTGGAGACATTTTGGCTCCTCCTTTTAGGAAGGGAACATAATACATCCCAGTGCTTCCAGAAGGTTTGTATGGCACCAGCAAGGGCTGAGCTGGGGGGAGAAATCACAACTATTATTTAATTTAATTATCTAATTAATTGAATTGTTTATTACCCACCCACAGGTAGGAGGCTGGCCATCACTAACCTCAAAAAAATCAACTTTCTTACCTGCTCAGTCTTAAATTTGTGACTTAAAAAAATAATCTCCTGTACCCACACAGCTCCCAGCTGATCCATGTTTAAAGAAATAAATTTAAAGGAGCACAGATTTGGCTCTCGAGTCAATAAAACCAATTTGATGATGTAACAGAGACCCAACACGAAACATCACTTGTGTGGAAAACCACTGAGCAACAGCCACGTTCCCCTGTCCACAGGGATTAAAAACCCTGCATGTTTTTTCTATTTTATTCATTTTTTTAATTAAAATTATTCTATTTTTTCTATTACTTTTCTATTTTTTATTAAAAGCAGGACTGTGCAGATTTCCCTCTTATTTTTTTTTGTATTATCTTGACTAGGGAGCAAACCAGTAATTCGATTTATCTCTTGATAAACTCCAAGCAGTGATTCAAATCAAATTATCTCCACGCAAATGTCAGAGAATTTAATCGCCACATCAGATTTAATTAAAAAACTTGAAGTTACAGGACACACTAAACTCGGTTCTAGATAAACCTGATCTGAATCACAACTTTATCCATATAAATCCCTTCCCACAAGACTGAAAACCCCAAGTTTAAGGATTGGGTTTCTTCCCCCCTATATGAGCAACTTTATATATCCAAATTATCTCAAAAACGTTCCTTACACCAAAAAAATGGCTTTATTTTTGGTTTTTAATGCTTAAAAATGTCATGAACTTGAAGAGATTAAATTATATATATATATAAAAGACGGGAATTTGCTCACCAGGCTGCCTTGGGAAGGGGGAAATCTCGATATGGGATGAAGTTGTGACGCTGGGAAGCTCAGGGGGTTTCTGGGCAGCCTCTTCCTCCTCTTGGGAATGAACGTGAATTTCTGCGGAAAAGGTGGTTTTCCCAGGACCTTCTGTGGTGATCTGAGTGGCAGCCTCTGAAGTCCTTCTCCCAGGTTTGGCAGGAAGCCAAATATTCCCGGGAACGAACCCCCCTGATCCCAGAGCAGGGACTCGGGGTCTCTCCGGCTCTCGCCCGGAGGAGAACACCCGGCTGGGATCTGCTGAGGACACTGGGAAAGGTGATCTTGGACCTTCTGGAACGAGGCCAGCAGGTGGTAATTCGGGAGCAGCTTCTCTCCAACCCTCAGGAGCTTTCAAAGGCACAGATTGAGTCTTAACTTGGGGTTTATCGTCCAATTTCACCCCGTTTTCCACGTTCACGTCCCTGCACAGCTCCAAGCGATGAACCTTGGAGGAAAGGGTGATGTGGACACAGGACAGGAATTTCTTGGTGGGTGAGGAGGGAGCTGCAGACGTGGTGGATAAAAGCTCCTCTGGGGGTGAAGGGTGGGATGGCTCCACTTGCTCCCTCTCAGCCTCTGCTATTGGAACCAGAGGTGGCTCATCAGCGCTTTCCTTCTCTTCTCCCAGCTCACCACAACCCTGGAGCACATCCACTTGTTCTGCTGGATCGGAACCTTCCAAGCTCTTGCTGAGTTGGATGTGGCCAGAGCTGCTCTTCTCCTGCTGGGAAGAGCTCAGGGAATGGGGTTCAGTGCATGGATTTCTCTCCTGACTGAAGGTCACGTCCAGCCCCTCAGCTCTGCCGCTCTGCCTGCCCAACTCACCCCCATCCTGGGCCAAAAAATCACATTTTTCTGCGCTGGGGCTCTGTCTTTTCCCAGCATGGATACTCCCGGAATCCTGAGCTGACAAAGAGTCTGTGTCCTGATAGACTCCAGCTCTGTCCCTGCCAGCAGAGGTGGGATGGAACCTGCCTTGACCTGCAGGATTAATCTCCTGGAACACGGAGCCAGCCAGCGCTGGACTTGCAGGACAAGTCCTGGATCCTTCCCAGGGTTCTCTGTCATGGCTCTGTTCCCCACTGGCAGCAGAGTCGACATCCACAGGCACGATCCCATCAAACCCATCCCTGGAGAGGCTGCTGCCCAGTGTCCCCACTGGGGACTGGAGATGTTCCCAGGATGAGGTGGTGATGGAAGTGATGGGCTTTCCCATCTCTTCCAAGCTCTTCTCCACAGGCAGTGCCTTCGGAGCTGGCACGAGGAATTCTGTCTGTACATCGGAGCCCGTTGCGCAGGGATCCCATTCCAGTGGTGGGTAAAGCTCAGCCACGGGGTGGGAATGGCCTGTGGCAGCTGGTGGGTGTTGGTTGCACACAGCCATTCCAGGAGCAGCATTCCAGGATTTCAGCTGCATGTCCCCCAGCAGGGAGTCGTCGGAGGGATGGGATCTATGGAACAGCACAGCCTGTCCTGAGCTGGGCTCTGCAAGCTCCTGAGTCCTGATGGGCTGGGGGTGTCTGACAGTTGGGAATCTTGGAGTTTTGAAACTCCCTGTGTCCTGTTCCTGCTTATGGAGACACTCAGAGGCAGCTCCCAAACCACAAACCCAGGGATCCTGGAAAACAGAGAGCAAGGTCACCGAGGTCGGGTGGAAAACTTCCCACCCCTCACCAAAATCTGGATGGGAGAATTCAGAGCGAGAGGAGAGCTGTCAATAATGCAGTCTGCCATCAGGAAGGGATGGAATTCATTTGTGGAGGAACCAATTAAAAATCTATCATCATCCCTCCACGCTGGGGGATCAGCCCGGGACAGAGGGGTTTTTTTGGGATTGCAGCACATGTGGAG